GTTCTGAAGGCAAAAGGGGGTCCAACCCCTTACTAGCGTGGTGTACCTAATAAAGTGGCCGGTGAGTGTATTTCATGTTCATGCATGAGAATCACATTTTTAAAACATTATAATAGTAGCCTGGTATTGTAAATGTATTTATTATTGTCMGTCTGTCTGTGCCTTTGTGTTTTGACCTGTTAGCAAAAAATCTCATGAACCATAGATTTTAATAGAACATGCATAATCATTAGACATTCATCTTAAAGTAGACATGTGATGCTTTTAAATCCTTCCTTTTCACATTTAAATSCTTCAGTTTGGGTCTTTGTAAAGTGAAAATGCTTTGGTAGGAATTCRGCCTTATTCTAACTTTAGAACTTTATCAGCTCCTCTTTCACCACTTTTCTGATGTGTGTTTCAAAGCAGCTTTTTTTGTTACTGTTCCTTTAAGATGCTTTAAGCCCCGCCCCCCTCCGGCTTCCTGATCGGTCCACTCCAGTTTGAAAGACAAGAGTGGTTCTTAGCTTGCAGAAACTTTTTTTTTTTTTACAATTTAATTAAAATATGTCAGCAACAGAAGACTTGTCCATCCAGCCTTACATGTTGGAGCCAGAGGCTGACCCAGAACCAGAGTCTGACCCAGAACCAGAGTCTGACCCAGAATCAGAGTCTGACCCAGAACCACAGGAGAATTAAGATGAGGAAATTGTATTTGGTAAGTCCAGACCTTGTTTGGTAATTCTGTCACAAWTAATTTGARGTAATAGCTCAGAAAACATCATAGAAAACAGAGAAAACTGAACAGGCTGAATAATTTGACCCAAACATTATCTAATGATATCTTTGCCAGAAGAGACTAAAATCAACTTTTCTGCAGAGACTCCAAGTCTACAACAAAATGTATTTAACAGCTAAAAAAGTGGATTTTGCAGGATATMTCCCCTTTAAWTATTGATGTCAAACCCTTTAAAAGGTTTGACCAAAACAGCTGCAACTTTGTCATTTTCAACATAATGTGATCTTAGTGTGAAGGTGGTCTGAATTCCTGAGATGACTCAGTGTCGTCATCATGTAGACCCCCTTGAGTCACTGGATATTCTGCTAAATGTTTCCTGGTTTGTTTGTTTTTTTTTTTATCAGTAATAGAATTTATGCGCTGCTCTTTGGCTCCAGGACCATCAGAAGCTTCTTGCCCTCGATGTGATCTGAACTAAAAGTCAGGTCACGTCGAGAGAGTCAGACYAACAGTGTGACCCTTTTCCCTACAACATGTCCTGTAGTTATTTACCTGGCAGGTTTACAAAAAGCCTGGAGGGGAAACTTATGTAACTCAGCATGTGTTTTCTGTTTCAGCGTAAGGCTGAATTTACATTTTAATCTCAGGTTTATTGCTTCTGAATGAGCTTCTCTGTACTCGTTTTAGCTTTTTCAGCTTTTTTCAGTTTTTTTAGCTATTTTTCCACAAATGGAAGCTTTTCTTTTCTTTTCTTTTGGTAATGTGAGCTTTATTATTGTCCTTTTATCTTCTGTCTACTAAGCTTGTTTCTGCTTTTTTACATTTCCACTCTTTTCAGCTTTTTCATCACATTTCTTTCTATAGATTTTTCACATTTTTCCTATTTTCAGCAAATACCATCTTTTCAAATTGAACTCACATTAACAGTTTTGTTATTAAACATTTTCAGCTTCTTTAGCAGCTTTCAGCAAAAACATCTTTCAGTGCGCTTTTACACTGCATTTTAACAGGAAATGCAAATTCTCTAGTTTTGGTTAAACCTTAGAAAAAATGTCTCCATATCGTGAGTCGTCAGACTCAGAGCTACTACCACCTCAGGTTTTAACTCTAAATCTGTAAAACTGACTGAGTTGTACAGATTTTTTTTGGGTTAGTTAAGGTTGATCAGTGCTGGCAGCCATCTTGAACCGGATAGATTTTATAGATCTACAGATGCTAAAAGTTAAAATATAAACAAAGGTTTTGGAGCTCAGATCAGTTTCAGGTACCACAACAACAACAAATCTTCTAATATCTGAGATAACAATAAAAAATAATACAATAAATCTGTAAAACTGACCAGGTTTCCACCATTTTTGTGTTTGTTTTCTGTGTATTGTGTGTTAATTGGCTGTGGCAGCCATCTTGAATTATAATGACTTCCTGTCAGATTTGAGAACAAGATGCTCTATGAATCTTGTTGTTTCTGTTGAACAAAACAAGACGGGTGTGACTGTTATCACTGGAGCTTTTCACATTTACAAAAGGTTATCACTGCAACCCCCACCCAAAAAAAAAAAAAGAATCTGTGTGCACCTCATCTTTAACTTGACCTCTTTTTCTCCTTCTTCTCTTCATTCCCTTGTTTTTTTAATTAAGAATGAATAGATATTAAACAGAAAWCATGTTTCTCTGTTTGAACATGTGAGAAGTAAAAGGTAAAAAGTGAATGAAGCTTGAGGACAAACGAGTGAAAAGAATAAAACGAAGCGRCTCTTGTTCGTAAGAGTTGTGAAACCCGGCAGACGTTTGAAGATGAAAGGAGGCAGGGATGCTCGTCAGAACCGTGGGAGGAAAAGAAGAAGAGTAAAACGCTACTGTGGGTTTTACCTTGAAGCTCCYGGGGAAGAGAGTGTGATGATGAMGAGGAGGAAGAGGAAYAGGAGGAGGGGGGATGCTGGAGGTTCAGCTCTCAGAAGCAGGAGAGGCAGAGGCTGAAGCACAGCTGGAGTCAGGCTCAGGAGGAGAAACCATGACGAGGAAAGCTCCAGGTTTTCTTCTGCGCTGAACTGGATTTAACTTTTACTCAGGCGACGTTTCAAAACTGGATTCTGTTGCTAATCTTTTCTTCTACCTCCAAGAGTGAAAACCAGGTAGGAGGATCCAGTCTGGTGGATTTAACAGCTGCTTTTTTATTCCAGTTTCACTCATTTATTTCAAACTTTGAGCATTAATGAGTTTTACTTTTAATATTTTGATTTTATTTGCACATTCATAGTGTGTACTCACTGTTAGTGCTCCTAAATGATGTTATTCTGCTAGAAGTGACCACATACTCTCAATATATGCCTTTTATAGCTATAATATTAGATCTACAGTGACACACTGGGTGTTCCCATGATGTGTTACATTTTAATTATTTGGCTGCACAGCAGTTATTAAGAAATAATATTTAGTTATACTTTCTCAAAAAAAAAATCGGTACCAAAATGTTCTCACTAACTAATAATTTATGATTTAGAGCTGCATCCTCTTAGCAGGTTTTTCAAGTAATTTATTTTTGCCAAACACAACTGACATTTTTAATTCATTGATTTATATTAAAAATAAAAGTGTGCAGGAAGAGTTTGATAAAACCAAATGGACTAAATAATAATTTATTCTAAACACTTTTAATGATAGAACGATTTTAAATAAATAAAAAAAGAAAAAAATGTTTGTTTCTCAAAAATGAAATGGAAAAATCTGAGTGACTTTACTGAACTTCCTGAAAATGAATATTACAAATTAAAACAAACAGAAGCAAAGACTAAAAATCACTGTAGCTAAATGCTAACAGCTACAATCCAGAGCTAAACCATAGCTAAAAACTACATTTAGCTAAACCGCTGCTAAAAGCTAAAGCCAGTAAACAGGTAGAGACTGTTACACCAGCAGAACTACAAGCTCAGATTTGTACATTTATTAGTTAGGTTGTTGGTTTAATTCCTGTTCAGTAAATTGAGTTCAGTRGTTGAGTGAAAGGACATGTATACATAAATGTGGTAAACAATAAACAAAGCTGCGTTTAAATCAGGTTCAGGGACAAAATGTCCTGCGTACAGAACCAACAGGAGGGAACAATCTTTACTGACATTTTAAAGTAAAGATACATAAAACACATCAGGTTGAGTTCAATCCATGTTTGCTGCAAATAACTGGGGAATAAAAATCTACTAATGACTGACTTAGTTGGTTTTTCTTTTGCTTTAAATGATTCAWCACTTTGCCACAGGTGAAATGTACAGATGTTATTGTAAGAACAAAATGATCTAATTAAAAGTGACAATCCAACATAAACAAATAAATGTGAAGACTTTACATTCTTTAAAAGAATGCATGTCACTCGCTACATTTATGCCAGAGTTTTGAAATAAAATAATCTCATCTTAATGAGTCTTTAGTCAAAACCTGGAAATGAATTGCATGTGGTCTTTCTGCCTGTGTGCATTGATATATGTCAGATGTTCATTTGTCTGACAACAATGAGGAAAAACAAAGACGGAGCAGAGGCTTCAGATGTGAGGAGAAAAGTGAAATTCTGCAGATGTGCTGCAGCAGCTTGGAGCTTCTGGCTGTTCAGAGATGACCTGTCTACTGTGGTTACTGCTGCGTGTGTGTGTTTGTGTGTGAAGTGACCTGGTTGGAGAATCCTGACCCGGGTCTGAGAACCCTGACCGGGCCCCAGCAGTCCTCCTCCAGATGCCTGAAGGTGTCAGTCAGGGACAGAGTCCTGTCAGAGCAGATTCACTTCATGAGCAGACAAACAAACAAACTGTAGTTTTTACAATACGAGAGGAGAAATCTGACTGAAGAGGTCAGATTTTATTAGAGCGCACTATTAACAGTGAAAACGCTGACTCAGCATTCACACACGTTTTTTTAAAATGTTTTTCTGCTTTTAGCTTCTGCACTTATTACCTCCTCATACTTTGTGTTCGGCCTGGAAGAACGTGCTGTGATTTCAGGATGTGGAACTTTTATACATTGTTTTTTATTTACAAACAAAAATCCCCAGTCTTTTAAAAAACACTCAATTTCACTGAGCACACGCGCTATTTTTGTTTTGCTAGGCTCCTTTTAGCTTTTTACTGACATGCTAATTCTAGCGTTAAGCTACTGTTTTGAAAATGTTTTCTTTTAAATACAGTTTTGATCATTTAGCAACAATTTAGCAAAGTTTTGCTGCTATCAGCAATTAAAATCTACATTTTAGTGGCTGTTATGCTAATTTTTACGGAGCCCCCGAGGGGACATGGGGGGGGGGGTCTTTTGCGTTCCCACGCAATACCTTTGTGTTCCCTCACAATACTTTTGCGTTCCCTCGCAATACTGTTTTGCGTTCCCTCTCAAACGTTTGTTTTGTATATGAACTGAATTAAATCAGACTTTTATTTTGAAATATCCGATTACCAAAACAGGATGTGTCGCCACAGTTCTTGAAATTGACAATGATGTTGTGTGGCTGCACTGTGTTAAAATATCGGCATATGATGTACTTCCATGCGTGGCTGTGTGATATATTCATTCTGAAGCTGAAGCAGTAGGCTAACTCGCTAATGGTGAACATGTGAGTTTGTAAATAAACCGGCAGGCACAACAGTGATGAACTACTTTTGCGAGGGAACGCAAAAGGTATTGCGAGGTAACACAATACTATTACGTGGGAACGCAAAAGAAAAAAAAATCTCCCATGTCCCCTCGCGGGCTCTGTAAATTTTAACTGTTAGCTACGATTTTTGTTATTTTCAGTTTTTACATGCAGTTAAGCTCATTTTAATTGCAGCTACAATTTTGCAAACTTGGTCTTTTAGATATTGTTTTACCAAATTTAGGTTTTCTCTACGTTTTTGTTATTCATTTAGCTTTTAGTGGCTCTTTGCTAATTTTAGTTTACCGTATAGTTGTTCTTGAAAATCCCTTTTGAGCATCAGTTTCTGAAGCACTCAGACCAACAACCTCACTCAAAGATAAAATCCTCTTTCTTCCTCATCCTGATTCTGAGTCTGAACTTCAGTAAGTCATCTTCATCACATCTTAAAGCCTAAATGAACTGATTTGCTGCCATCTTATTAGTTGTTTGTGTCAATGAACAAATGAACAGTTGGACTTAATAAAGTGGACAAACATGTTTCATTCTGTGCAGCTGTTTCAGGGAGTATGGGATCATGATAATTTTCAGGACGTTGCTTTGTTTAAGACAGGGGTCTGCAACCTGCGGCTCTGGGGCCACATGTGATTCTTTGGTTCCTCTGCAGTGGCTCTTTGAAAATGTGACCAAACATAACAGAATATTTTTTATACCTACAACAGAAATCAATTTGTATGCAAATATTTGATCAATACCGATACAAAAAGTAAAACGTTAGCTCATGCTAGCTTGTTGTTTACTTAAGTAATCCAACCTCTTTCTATGATCTTTCTCTCACATCCATCAGAATCACCTGTAAAGTATTAGAAGACTACATGATAATAAGAATTAGAAAAAAAATGAAATTCTTGTTTACATGAATCTGTTCTTTTCATTTGCCCTGATGTGTAAAACTAATAATAAATAATACAATTCACAATATATGTTTTAGTTTTTTAAAGTCACCTCCACTGGCCGTAAAGGTTCCCAAAAAGGCCTCGAAAAGGCCCACGGACCACCAGTTGATAATCACAGTTGTAGCTTGTGTTGCTGCTCTGGACACATTTTATTAGTGAGACAAGCAGCAGAAATGGCTCTTTTGATCGTAAAAGTTGCAGACCCCTGGTTTAAGATCTTATTTTGACACCCCCCCATACCATAGTGTGGACCCTCTCAGCTGCATACTGACAGTGTGTGTGTGTGTGTGTGTGTGTGTGTGTGTCACTGGCCTGAGGTCTTGCTGCAGGTAAGACTTCCGCCTGTCATCTTCAGTCAGGGCAACCCCCTTCAATGAGTCTCATCGTCTGTCCTCTCAAAAAACTAATTATCGTTTTCATTTCAGCACCTGTGCAGTGATGAAGGAACGGTTTTGTCAGGAAGCTCAAAGCTGCTGATAAGAGATTTAGATTTGACCTGTATGGTTTTTAGAGATTTACTTTCATGCTATATACCGTTTTTACATCCTTGCATGAATCATTGATCACGTCTGACATTCATAGAAAGCTGAATCAGAGACAGAGGCTCCAATACGTTTGACGTCAAACCGTCCCCTCTCCACATTCACCCACTCGAAGTGTTTCAGGAGATCCTTTCACAGCGTTAATATTTAAAACCATCTCTTGTAAAGCTCTGACCTTGATCGCACAACGTGACGAGTTTCTGTCCTTGTTGCCTGAATGTTTGTCAGCTGAACTGAGCCGTGGAGCAAAAATCAGTTTATTAAAAAAAAAAAGTGAATGTATGTTGCTGAGAAGAAACAGGAATAAACTGCATGAATTTTGAACTTTGAATTGGAGGAGCTGCTTTTAGTTGTTTAATTTCACCACCAGCTGGCACACAAGCACAGGTAACTCACTGACGTAGTGAAGTATTCAGCAGGACTACAAAGATAATTCTCAGAAACGTGATGAATAAACGTGTTATTCCCTTGTTGGGCCGTCAGCAATTTAAGCTTTAACATTTTACAGAAAAAAGTTCAGAAATGTTTTTTAAGACCCCAAAACAAAAACCTCATTTCACAGAGAGAATGTTCAAACGCTGCAGCTTATTTCTTTCAGCATGTCTGAGCTTGACTAAAAGACTCTGTGTGGATGACAAGAGGGAGAATGGATCGTATTTTTATCATAAATATGGAGAATTTCATGCTGCCTTCTCTGAATGTGGCTGTGATGGGATGCAAATCAAACCCAGAGGCTACAGAAAACGAGATCAATCAATTGGGCAATCAGCGAGTCAGTGGACACAGTCTCTTTGTGTTCTCATCTGAGGTGACGACAGAGTCCCATTCATGTGTTCATTTCAAGACCACTTATAATGAGAGCTGGTCTGTTGGGTGCAGATATGCTAAAGCCAGAACAAAAAGGCACAGATGCTGCAGAACACACACAAAAACAACTTATACTAAAAACAAAAAGGTCTCAGTCATTTGCTTTGAGGCTATAAAATATTTCATGGTAAATGGTCTAAATGTTTATAAAAACACAGGAGTCCAGCTGCAACCTGTTTTTGTTACACTTTTTACTGAGTTAGTTTATTTCAAACAAGTTAAACAGTTGAAAAGCAGGGGCAGAGCTAGACATTTTTTGCATGGGGTGGCCAAGGTGGTTTTCAGGGGGGCACATACAAAAAATAAACAAAACTACTCTAGATTTCAAAATTCAAGATGGCCTCTGCAGCTAACATGCTAAATGGCTCTAACTTAGCTTTTTTAAAGAAATATTGAGCTGAAAAGTTGTGTAATTGTAGCTAAGAATAATAAAAAAAAACATGATTGTTATATAATGCTAGTTTCATAAAGGCCTACAATTTAGCCATTTTTAAACACACACTTAAAAATTAGATTAGAAGCTGAGAAAATCTTTTACAAAATCTGATTTCAAATACAAAATCCAAGATGGCTGCCAAAGCTAATTTCAAATGGTTACAACTCAGCCATTTTTAGAAATACGAGCTGAAATGTGGTGCGGTGGTAGCTACGAGAAATCCCCATAACCTTCCTCAGCTAGTAAAAAATGCTTCTCATTGTGTGTCCATCTTTGAAATGCCACAAGCAAACCCCACCCCTCTTGTCAATCACTTTGGGGTGGCCCTCTGGCTCCACCCTTGTTGAAAATAAGTGAGAAATAAAAACTAATTTATTCCCTCTGTTCTCCAAAGCTTTCTTATCCTAAATATCTTAAAACATGAAATATTTAGTATCAGCTCATTTTGATGATAGCATTGTCAAACTTCTTGTAACGATGCTGAGGCACTTCAGGATCTGTCTTAAATTGAGTTTGCTCCAAAGGTCAGACAGTTTTACATCCAAAGATTAGTTCCTGAAAGTTTAATTTAAATCATGAATGAAATTAATTTAGTTGAAAATCATTGCAGTCTGTTTTTATTTACACAAAAAAWTTTTGAAATTGAGGTTTAAAAGCTGCTAAAAGTTAAACCCCCTACTTACTGATCCACTAGGAAGATTTATTTGACAAAAATAAATAAATAAAAAAAATTAGGCATGTTTTATTTGCTTTCATGTCCTCAGAAAAACAGTTCATTTAAGAGGATTTCTACAAATTTTCAAGCAATTAAGATGATGGTCCTTCCTTGAATGGAGACACGCAAAAGTCTCTACATTTAATAATTAATACAAATGTATTTATATTATATGAGCTTTATTATTTTACTCAGTAAAAGTTTTTTTTCAGATTTGCAAATTTATATATTGAACTCATCCAATAAGAAAAAAGAAAAAGAATCTGAGACTCACAGCTAAATTTGCTCCCCTGCATCCAATCTCACTTCAACATCCATTTGGTTTTTGCTCTGATTTATTTCTGTTCATCTCTGTTATTGTTTTATTCTTCGACGTGGGAACTTTCATGCTCTCCAGCAAACAGCACAGACGATGGAGAGATTTATCTGCCAGCTTTGGTTTTAAAGTCACATCTTTCAATTTATTTGCTGAACATTACCATCTGTGCAGAGACAAAATGCACAAGAAACTTTTCAAACAGCAACAAATATATTTATTATTTTAATTGTGCTTTGATAGCATTTGCTTTTGAATTTGTCACGCTCACGCTGAACAGATTAAAATGACAAAATATTACATTTAGTCTCCTTCACTGCAGAGCTTCAAACGGTTTTCCTGATGAAAGCTTTTTAGAAATCGCTCCACCACTTATAACCAATGAATATTAAAGGTCAAATAAACTGAGGACAAGTTAAAGGGGAAATTTAGACTCTGTTTCTATAGTTCAAAAGATATGAACTGTCACTTCATCTCTGAAAATGTCTGTTTTTTTCTAGTCCAGGTCCACTTTGGTCCTGATCTGCTTAGACCACTTTAAGAAATAAGCTATCACTTTAGTTTTACATGCAATGTCCTCTGCATGTACTTTATTATTAAACTGAACTTTGTCGTCTTCCAGTCCAGAACATGGTTTCCTGAGCCACCTTCCCACCGACGCGACGCAGGGATTTCACCAAGTCTAGGTCATGTCTGCTTTCCTTCCCAACGCCAACATCTCAGGAGGCACAGCGGCTCTGCTGGAGACCGCCGACGGCCAATCTAACCTGACCACAGCCTCTCCGGCAGGACACGGGCCGGGCCAGACGCTGCCGCTGCCGCCACTCTGCACCCTCTGCTGCTGTGGCCTCATCAATCGCACCCTCGCTGTGGCTTTCATGGTCAGCCTGGCCTTTGCTATTGTGGTTGGAAATGTCATCACGCTCACAGTGTTTGTGCAAACGAGGCAGTCAAGAACACCGCAGGGATACTTAAAAGGTAACTTTTTTTGGTAGCACTGTTTTAGCCTTACCTAATCATCAATAAATGGTTATTTAACCTTAAATACATCATTAATAAAGGATGTGTCATTGTCAATTTATTTATATAGCACAGAAAAACAATAAGTTGACCAAAGTGCTTCACAATTCAGCTAAATGAAGAGATAAAACAACAAAGAGACAGAAATGTTCAAAATTAATATAAAATTCAGAAATACAACATAAAACCATCAGTTCTAAAGGAATCTCAAACTCTACCAGAAACAAAAGCCAAGAGGCAAAGATGGGTCTTAAGCAGATTTAAAAATCTTGCTGGTCTCAGTGGTCCAAATGCAAAAAAGTAAACCATTTTACAGGTTTGGGGCAGAAACTGCAAAAGCTCAATCAACAGGGGTGGACCCAGAGGGGTGGCCAGGGTAGCAGGTGCCAGCGGTGGAATCGTGCAACCCATCAAAGATGAGCATACAGTGAGAAACATTTTTTTACTAGCTGAGGTATGTCATGGGGATTACTCTTGGCTACCACCACACCAAATTTCAAATCAGTCTTTCTAAAAATGGCTGAGTTTTAAGCCATTTGAAATTAGCTTTGGCAGCCATCTTAGATTTTATATTTGAATTCAGATTTTGTTAAAAGATTTTCTCGGCTACTGCTCAAATTTTTAAGTGTGTTTAAAAATGGCTAAATTGTAGGCCTTTACATAATTAGCGTTAGCATTAGCAGTTATCTTAGTTGGGACTAACAATCATGTTTTTAAATCATTCTTAGCTACAATCACACAAAATTATAGCTTAGTATTTCTTAAAACAGATAAATTAGACCGATTTGAGGTTAGTTTTGGAGGCCAGCTTGAATTTTATAATCTAGAGTAATTTATTTATTTGCAGGTGCCCCCTAAAACCCACATTGGCCACCCCATTCAAAAATGTCTAGCTCCGCCCCTGCCCATTACCTCATAAATTTAGCTTAGATATAGGAACATCTAGGAGAAACTGGCTGGATGGCCAATGTGATCTGACTGAAGTGTGGGTGTTAAGGAAATCCCAAAGATATAATAAGGCCAGATCTATTGGAATTCTAAAAGTAAGCAGTAAAATCTTAAAATCTATCCTATCAATCCAGAGATATTTTTAGGACCAGTTAAAAGACAAGCTGCTGCAGCCTGAAAGTAACACAGAGAAGTTTGCTCTAAACTAGCGAATAGAGCATTGTAATAATCCAACCGAGTTGTAATAAGAGCATGAATCACTTTTTCAAGGTCTTTGATGAGGAAATATGACTTAACATTGGCAATAACACGTAGTTGAGAAAAAAAACTTGTTTTACAACTGGGTTATCTGTTTGTCTAATTTAAAGGCATTATCYAAAATAAAACCCAAATTCTGGACAGCAGAGCAGCTATATGTGGAAGTTGCTTGTGAACCAGGAACTGATATCATACAGGCAGTCAGAAAGTGAGGTGGGTGGGAGAGTGGCAGTAGGGGTTGTGGATAGATAGAGCAGAGTGTCATCTGCATAACAGTGGAATTGGATTTTATGTTTACAAAAATATTTCCAAGTGGAAGGAGGTAAATGATAAAGGGGGGGGGGGGGAGGACAGAACCTTGTGGAACACCAGAACAGAGAGGGGTAGAATGCGAGGAAAAGGATTTTATGGGTAAATTTTTAATAATTGTGTTCACTTATAGCTTATTACATTTGAATATCCTTAATTAATGATGTTTTCAGTGTTAATTAACCATTTATTAATGATTAGGTAAGGCTAAATAAGGTGTAGTAATAAAGTGTTTTTAAATATGGTCCAAGTCTTAAAGCCAGTTTAGACTTTTACTTTTTAAACTCAAATACAAAATGTTTAAAGATATTAACAGTGCACGCTGATTGTATCCCTCTTTTCTTCTCCTGTTAAAGTGTCTTTGGCCGTTGCAGACATGATGGTTGGAGTCGTCGTGGTTCCGTTCTCCGTCTACACTGAGGTCTCTCTGATGGTGACCAGTACTCCTCCCATTTGGTACCAGAGCAGCACCATTGCACCAGCAGCCTCCTCCTCCTCGCTTGTCGGACCATCTGGCTCTTGGCAACCCTGCATGCTGATTGGTCCGGTCTTTGCCGGGTGCACGTTCGTCTCCATCAGCACCATCTTCCTGATGACCCTGGAGCGCAGCGTGGCCATCCTGCGGCCTCTGCACAAGGACACGTTGGTGACAAGGAAACGAACGCTGTTCCTCATCCTCCTCTCCTGGTCGTCCAGCTTCCTGCTGGCTCTGGCTCCTCTCGTCTTCAGCCACAACTTCACTCTGGAGTACAACGTGTGCAGCCGCATGTGCAACTACACCCCGCTGCTGTTTGGAGGTCAGCTCCCGTCGGACGCCAACATTCTGCTGCTTTTCCCAGCTTTCGACTTCACGCTCCTGGGCGGCACGTTAGCGGTCAACATTGTGTCGTTCACCAGCATTCGACGGTACACACGYAAACGCAAGCTGCTCTCAGAGGGGAGTCTGAGTGACGGAGGYGGGAGGGGATGCTCCCACAGGCCTTCCTTCTCGGACATCAAGGCCGCGAAGACCATCGGCATACTGACGTTCGCCTTCACGGCGTCCTTCTCCCCCATAGCGGTTTTCGTGCTGGGGAACGTGGTGGGGTACACCTGGTGTAACTTCTCCTTTTTTGCCTTCTGGATCCTGACAGGAAACAGTTGCTGTAACGTCGTAATCTACAGCGTCAGGGACCACCGCTTCAGAAAGGGCGTGACCCTGCTCTTTCAAAGAGAGCAGTCGCCCCCACATAGCGAGAAGACCTGAGGACCGGTTTCGACAAGCGTACGTGCGTAATTTGAATCGATTAAAATGTTATTTACATCTTTCTTGGGAACAATTCCGCCTCGTGTTTGCAGAGCGTATAAAAACACGCGGCCTTCTTCAAACCTGCTTTCTGGGAGTTTCAACCACAAAGGGACAGCTAGGTGTGAAGGCACAGACGACGAATAACAGCAGCTCCTCAAACACAGTCAGAGGAGTTCAGAGCAGAAAATAGTTTCATTCTTTCAGCAGCTTGTAAGGGAATCTGTCCTGGATAAAACCAAGATGTGAAAGACTAGTTTTTTTTATTACGGGGTTAATTTTCAGGATTTTATTTAACTGTTGGAGTGGATCAGGAATTTATTTGGAGATGGAACTGAGACTGACCCTGAATTTTAATGTTATTTAACAAAAAAAGATTGTTTTAAATAAAAATGGGTGTTCTGATTATTTCATGTCTGCTTCCCTTATTTTCATTTTAAACGGAGTTTAAGCTATTTGATTATGACCAAAGGAATAAATTCTTTAAACAACCATTTGATAATGCTTACTAAAGAAAATCCAAATGTACTGCAGGAAAATAAAAACTCATATTTTTGAATTTGCCATCTMATGATACAGGAGTGAATTATCACACCATGATGAAACTCTGTCCCATCTCAGCTWACAAGATGATCTTATTGGAAATAGAACGGGAAGTTTAAATCCTAAGACTTTTAAATCAAGGCAACTGAACTTCTTTTTGTTATTTTTTATTTATTAAGTGTTTTGCTTCTCATCCTAGTCGTTTCCTCAATTCAAACTAAAAATTACGGGGTTTAATTTCAGTTTGAGTAAAGAAATCTCCTCAGATGAGCACCAAAATGTCTTTAATTTAGAAGTACAAAAGAAAATCTCAGGATTTATTCAGTTCCGAACAACTGGGACTTAGATGTTGAGCATCAGAATAGATGTGTTAACAGAGGTCATCTAAAGACACTATAATGTCTGGACTCTGAAAGCTAAACATTTATTTCAATTTACCAATTTAAACTCTTAAATTCCACAATTGAAATGTGACAAATAATAATGAAAAAAAAAAGAATTTATCTTATTTTAATTTCAGTTACAAARGTAAATATTAATTGCATTTATACTCAAACATGAGGTTTTTTGTGCATCAAAAATAAAATCAAAATGGGAAAAAATACTGAGTCGGCACTTCTTATTTGTTGCTTGTAAGCTTGTAACTGGGATGGATTTGTTTATTGGAACTTTCCTTTTTATAATGCAAACTTTAAGTACTCGTTCTGTTCGAGGTTTCAGGTCAGCGGCGTTTGAATTTGTGAAAATTAACCTCAGTCTCTCCGATTTTAACGTCACGTATGAGGAAGTGAGGGTAAAACTCAGACCTGAAGTTGTGTTAGCTTCAATGTGTGTTTGAAAAAATTCTTGATTTTACACCTTTGCTTGTTTTCCCAATTTCCAAAATACAAACTGATCTGCTTCTATGAAATGTGTTTAGTTTGAAAACAATATAGTTTTCTGTGGTTTACAAAATTTACTGTTGACTATAAATAACAGCCAACACCTTATACTGTCATGGGCAGTAATTAAGATAAACAGAGCCTCATTAGTGGTATTACCATGACATCAACTGAGTTATGGAACAGAAATGCCAAATTCTGACTTGAGGACCAGGAAATCAGGTGCTGTTTTACAGTTTCTACCAGRGATCAACATGTTTGGTGACGGGCAGGCACAGAAAAAAAAAACTCATTTGCAAATACGCAAAAAACTTTCTTGATGGTTATTTGTTAGTCAGAAAAATTTACATCTGCGCAAATCCTTGGAGATGCTGCGCAGGTCTCACACGGCTCATCTAGTTGTATCAAAGAGGCTGAAAAAGCAAGTGGCCAAAAAAGCCCCTAAAAGTTTCAAACCCCGACACACACTAAAACACACAAACACACACACACCGCCTCCAGCGTCAGACCTATCATATATGATAGGTCAGAGAACTTTAGAGCCACAGCAAGGTTAKGCATTATTTGTCCTATTTCTGTTTCATCCTCTCTCATTTCACTGCRCTAATGAATTTTTAATTGTCTRGCCGAGCTCTTAAGGCGAAACATGTGTGTCAGAGCCYATAAAGCACAGAGACCACCTGTGGCTGATGTCTGTTTTTGGCTCTGGAGAGGAAAGGGCAAAGGCACAGATGCCTGAGAGGCGTGACAGGGCAGGAGAGATTAGGAGTGATAACATTTTTTTGTAGAGATATTTCCATGAAGCAGAAAACTCTACATTTATTCCAAATTGGCTTTTTGAATTGATGGAGCAGTGGTTAGAGCTGCTGCCTCACAGCAAGAAGGTTGATGGTTCAATTCTTGTATCCTGTCTCTCCACTGATGATTGCTGGCGTTAAGGCGCCCTGACCCAAACAGAATCAAGTGGGCATAATAAGAATGAACTCATGATTGAAAGGCTGCTGTCAAACCTTCAGCTGGACCTCGGTCCGGTAGGTGCTAAGAACCGAGCTAGAAGCAGGTGTGAGGCAGAGAAAAGCTGACCCAAATATGAGTTAAGCTCATGAAAAACGGCAGAAAAAAAAGAGGCTGGCATGACTGAAGTGAGCCAGAAACATCACAGATTTAATGGAGACACATCCTGCTTTRAAATTCTTCTTTTTCYCATTCCCATTATATTAAGCAAATACTACAAACTTTGCTCAAATTGGTAAAGAAATAAAAACATTTGTATTTTTTGCTTAATAAAATGGGTTTTAATACAATTTGGGAACTTTTTCAATTTTTATCACATATATATTTCTCAGATCAACTCGTTTTGAAGCTGTGTCTTTAAATCCAAATGGGGCGCTTCAAACCCTGCCCAGCTTCCAGACCGGTCCATTCCAGTATTATAGAGGGGTTTATGACTATTTAGCTGCAGTGAAACGTTTTATTTACAAATGAAGTAAAAAATGCCAACAAGGGAAGACTTGTCCATCCAGCCTTACATGTTGGAGCCAGAGTCTGACCCAGAACAAGAGAATGAAGACCACCAAARTGGTAAGTCCAGACCTTATTTGGCAGTTCTGTTGCAAATAATTTGATYTAATATTTCATAAAACGTCATAGAAAATAAAGAAACGGGTAAAAACATGGATTTTGCATGATATGCCCCCTTTAATTAACAATTCTTTATCCCCACCCCAAACAACATAGTCTTACATCTTACACACKTCAGATTACTTACTTGTGATTGGCTCAGTGACGCCACCTGACCTGCCTCAGACTGTCGGTCTGGTTTCACATCTATAAATACACACTTCCACACAACTCATTCAAACCCACTGCTGCACTTAAGTTGAGTGTTTGTGCCATCATGCAGGGAGATCCTGCTATAATATTTATCACTTCTTTTTGTGTGAAAGCAGAGCAATAAAACTAAAAATAATAAAACTAAAACTATTTCTCCAGAAGGTCTCAGCTTTTCAGTTGAAACAGATTTTAAATGTTTGTAAGGTGACCTAGACGCATTTTATTAAATAGAAAATGTTTCACAGAATATTACTCAACAGATCAGGATTTAAGTTTTTTTTTGTTGATTTTCTGATATTAGTTTTGTTCGGCTGCTCGGCGGCTCATCACAGGTAATGAGCGGTGGCAGGGAGGTGTGTGTTTTATGACTCTGCCCGCCTCCATCACACCTGGGACTTCTTGCAGCCTGAGGCATCAGACGTCAGCAGACGGACTCTGGTTTGTACCCGTCAGTCACCTGCACTGCAGACGTCCAGCTCCCTGCTAATTTCAGGCTTTTCAGACAAGTGACCTGCACCAAGCCACTCCAAACTAAAGCTTTTTTCTCTCTCTCTTTTTTAGCTTCAGAAACCTTTTAAACTGTTAAAAACTGTTAAAAAAAACGGTTTGTTCTCACATTAAATCAGTTATCTCATTAGGGATTTCCAGCATCTACCTCTGACATCTTAACTTTAAAACCGAACAAACTAATTATGTTCACAAAATAATAGCAGGCCTGTCTGCAAAATTAACCATAGATTATAATAAGAGTTGTACACAGCAAAGCTAATTATCTGAAACTGAATGATTCTCTCAACCTCCATCTGAAAGAGCACAGAGGAAAAGCTCATCAAAGCAGAAAAACAACAAAAAAAGCCTTTTTGTATTTCAAGAAGCAAAAGGATGGTTAAAAAACAAAAACAACTCGACGACGGCAGCATCATGCAGGGTGGAGGTCTTATCTGAACCAACAGAACCAGGAGGAAACAGGAACATAAGACACAACAGGGACCTCCTGAAGCGGGGCCGAGTGTGGAATGACCAAACACTTCAGATCAACCACTCTTTAAACGTCAGGAGGGTTTTTAATGCTGTCATCATTCCAGAGCAGCTCTACAGAATGTCACATTTAACTCCTGCAATCCTTTTAGACACTTACTAACCTCTGTTTGGTAAAATCTAATTACTAATTGTCTTTYTGTCTATGGTGTATAATGATGTGATTGTGATGCTGTATTTCTGACTGTTTATGTGCTGCAGAACAGGAACCTGCTGTAAAACAGCAATTATGCTAAGTCAGGCTTGATTTTTAGTAATCTTTTCKTMTTAAATCAATAAATCAAATCAAATCAAACAGRTGAGATTAAAGTCCACACCTGTGGATTGTTTAACATGTGCAGATCTGTGGGGATGCAAATAAACCCAAACTTCATCTCCGTCTCTTTTACTATCAGCTGGTTTTAGAGGATATATTTATTCTTATTATGATGGTTGTTTAGATGTAGGCTGGAAATAAAAGAGCTTGAGAAAACAGGTAAAACCGTATAAATACAGTTAGGTCCATATATATTTGGATACTGACACTAATTTTGTCTTTTTAACCTGTTTACTGAAACTTATTCAAGTTACAGTTATATAATGTACATGGACATAAAGTCCAGACACTCAGCTTTCATTTGAGAGTATGCACATTAAAAATGGATGAAGGGTTTAGGAGTTTCAGCTCCTTAACATGTGCCACRCTGTTTTTAAAGGGACCAAAAGTAATTGGACAATTGACTCCAAGGCTATTTCATGGACAGATGTGGGCAATCCCTTCCTTATGTCATTCTCAATGAAGCAGATAAAATGCCTGGAGTTGATTTGAGGTGTGGTGCTTGCATTTGGAAGGTTTTGCTGTGAAGTAAACATGCGGTCAAAGGAGCTCTCCATGCAGGTGAAACAAGCCATCCTTAAGCAGCAGAAACAGAAAAAAAAACATCCTAGAAATTGTTACAATATTAGGAGTGGCAAAATCTACAGTTTGGTACATCCTGAGAAAGAAAGAAAGCACTGGTGAGCTCATCAATGCAAAAAGACCTGGGCATCCACGGAAGACAACAGTGGTGGATGATGGCAGAATAATCTCCATGGTGAAGAGAAACCCCTTCACAACAGCCATCCAAGTGAACAACACTCTCCAGGAGGTAAAAGTATCAATATCCAAATCTACCATAAAGAGAAGACTGCATGAAAGTAAATACAGAGGGTTCACTGCARGCTGCAAGACACGCATAAGCATCAAGAATAAAAAGGCTAGACTGGACTTTGCTAAAAACATCTAAAAAAGCCACCATAGTTATGGAAGAACATTCTTTGGACAGATGAAACCAAGATCAACCTCTACCAGAATGATGGAAAGAATGAATTCTGAGGTGTTCAGAGCCATACTGTGTGCTCAGATCCAGCCAAATGCAGCCAAACTGATTGGACTGTGTTTCATACTACAGAAGGACAGTGACCCAAAACATAAAGCCAAAGCAACCCAGGAGTTTATTAAAGCAAAGAAGTGGAATATTCTTGAATGGCCAAGTCAGTCACCTGATCTCAACCTAATTGAMCATTTCACTTGTTAAAGACTAAACTTCAGACAGAAAGGCCCACAAACAAACAGCAACTGAAAACTGCCATAGTGAAGGCCTGGCAGAGCATTAAAAAGGAGGAAACACAGCGTCTGGTGATGTCCATGAGTTCAAGACTTCAGGCAGTCATTGCCAACAAAGGCTTTTCAACCAAGCAGAAATGAACATTTTATTTACAATTACTTGATCTGTCCAATTACTTTTGAGCCTCTGAATTGAAGGGATTGTGTTTAAAAGATGCTTTAGTTCCTCACATTTTTATGCAATCATTTTGTTCAACCCACTGAATTAAAGCTGAAATTCTGAACTTCAACTGCATCTGAATTGTTTTGTTTAAAATTCATTGTGGTCATGTCTAGAACCAAAATTAGAAAAATGTTGTCTCTGTCCAAATATATATGGCCCTAACTGTAAACAGTAAACAGATGTTAAGCAGAGAGCTGCAGGTGCTCTCTGAGGTTTTTATTCGCCTGAAGGAAGAGGAGTGACATCTGTGAGCCTGTCAGTTTCAGTCAAGAAAACGGGCAGAAATGTTCCTGAATCCAAACGATGTTTGTGTGAAGATTTACTCACAAATTATTACTTCAAAGCTAAAGCTTAAAGCTAGCCTGGAGATCAGTGTTATGTGGTCTTGTAATCCAGTTGCTCAAAGAAATATTTTATTGGATTAATCTCATCTAGATCCAACTTTTCAAAGTGACCAAATCCAGATAACAAGAGCTGAAGGTAACCATGTAAAACAGGTGGATTAGCCAACATCGGGTCTATCAAAATATATTTACTGTATTTAAAAAAATAAAAATAAATAAACACCCTATTTTCACTCTCTCTTGCCCAGCCCTAACATATCTACTACAGAAAAAAAAAGAAGCAAAATAAATTTCATGTGTTTAAAATTTAAAACCTAATTTTAAAATTTAATTGTTGACCTTGAAACATACAAATAAAAATAAAAAGTCTGAAACGTTGCTTTCAGGAGAAATATCTCAAGGTTACCGATGGTTCACCGAAGTTAGGTTAAAGCATAATGTTAATATCAATTAATAAAACATTACATTTCCAATTAAAGCTCAAATAGTTTTTGTTTCTCTGATTTTCACAGCTGCTGAGAAGATTATTTTATTTCTACCTTACAGGTCTGTGGTGTAAAGTAGTTTATGGTTTCACCTGGATGGTTTGAAAATTGGGTTAAAAAGAAATCAATAAATAAATTTAAATCTACATGATGAATGCTGTTTATTTGATAAGTTGGAATTTATTCTAAATCACATGTTCCTGAAATCCACCCTATATGTAGCAGATATGTTAGGATTGGTCACGAGTCTGTCGTGACTGTTATATCCTGTAATTTTGTATCTTTCTGCACAGTAGTTTGCTTTTACTTTCATTTTTTTAAATGTAATTTCACCTTGATAGTCCGGTAATTATTATTTTTATTTTGATCCATGTTTATTTCTGTTGTTACTATCTTTAATTCTATTATTTTTGCTGCTAATTCTATTATTTTTCCTGTATGTACCTGCTGCTGCTACTACACCTGAATTTCCTCGCGTGGGACAATAAAGGCTGTTTCTATTCTATTCTATTCTATTCTATTCTATTCTATTCTATTCTATTCTATTCTAAGATAATAAAATATAGGGTGTTTATTACCTGTTTGTTTCTTTAAATAAATATACTTTGATCTTAAGCAGGCAGCTCTGCTGGGTTTTCTAGCCTTCAGTGATATGACGTCTAATTTCGAGCGCTCACTAATCCAGATTTGTTAATCTTGAAAAATAGGTTCACAATAAGACTGATAAAATCCATCTTTTCTTTGAACTGGGGTTAAAGTCAGACAGATTATTAGATCCATGGACAGCAAAAACATGAGATTTCAAAATCCAGATTCAACCTTTTGAACAACTGGACCCAGAGGAGGAAGGTGAAAGAGTTGCATCAGGGAGYGAGGCAACAAAACAACAGCTGAACTTTCATTCCCTTTGAACCCCAAAGAACGGCAGAGAGAAAAATATCATTAGGTGGAAATTTGTCTTCTTTCACCCAGTGTCTCCTTTAATTACAGTATAATATATATATATATATATATATATATATATATTTCAAATCCCTCTTAGTGTTGGTGAGAGAACCACCAACACTTCACAAATTCTGTTATATTTTAGCTCAAAGTATTTTCTTCAAAACTGGTGATGTAAGTTGTTTTTTTTATTATTTAGAAACATAAAAATAAAATTCTGTGACCGTCACTCTTCTGACACTCATGGTTAAAGACATTTTAAAATCTAAACTTATAGTTTTTGCACGGCGATCGTTTGTCCGAGTCCTATTTTCAGTCTGCTCCTCTTTAACCTGGCAGTCAGGGAGCGACAGACACAAGTGTGCTGTCACCATGATAACCACGATGAGCCACAGGCAACAGCTTCGGCATTTACTGTGTGTCCAGCTTGGTTCTGCTTTAAGTTTGGAACCCTTCAACTAGTATATTTATTTAATTTAAGTAAACATTTTATTTTATTTCATTCCATTCCCAGTCACTGCTGCAGTTTTGTCTCTTTATGGCTGTAAACGATCCAAACACAAATATTTTTTGTTTATTCGCTCGACTTTATGCAACTAAAACACGATACTTGAGCTCCGCAACGTTTATCATCGACCCTGTAAGTAAAATATCGATGAGRGTAACAGTTATTTTAGAGTGGATCTTGTGTTTCTCTGCTTGCGTTCTGTTAAAATTTGAACCAAACACCCTGTGGATGTGACGGCTGTGTGACTGCAGCTGCTTCCTTCCAGCTCTGACAGAAGCTGTGTGAGGAAACAGCTTCTCTGTGGCCATCAGATTAGAAAGTTTCACTTATCTGGAAGCCTGCCCTCCACACTTTTTGACACCACATATGGGATGAAGAGCCAGTCTGGACTTGGCCTCAGGAAAAAAAAAAAGGAAAGAAAGAGGATGAGGAGGATGAGATCTTTGGCAGCTCACAGCTGATCCTTCACTGGCAATGACTAACAACAACCATCTATTCTGGGCTTTTTGTGATTGGCTAAAAGGGCATCTCAAAGTGTCAATATGTGATGAAAAGCCCAGAATATCTGAAGAAGCATCTGTTCTAACAGGAGGTCATGATGCCACTCAGGTTTCTGACATGTTGTCAGCTTCATGACAAATTTAGTGAAAGCCTCATAAACTGTCAGACCTCGAGTGTTTACAGCCACAGACTCTGGAAAATGTCCTTGTGAAGAAAAATAAACAACACAAACTGCAGTTTTTTGTTATAAAGTGTAAACTTGGTATGCTTGACCTTTTTTTATTAGCTTCGTAAATTGTTTTTGACAAGCGATGCTTCCCAGAAAAATACAAAAAAAGGAGAAAATCTGCTGAAATCAGAATGTTGTGATTACTTTATAAAGGTACGCCCACAATAAAAAAAACTAATTACTGATTTCCTAGAAAAAGTTTCATTACAAAGTTACATTTTATAAAGTCAAAACTACAAAAAATAAAAATAAAATGTCATTAAAGTTTAAAGGTTTTCTAAAGTAGGAACTTTTTAATTAAATTTTGTGCATTTATTCTTTTAGATTTTTGATAGGATTAAAAGAAGTAAACATTTAGCAATTTATTCTTATCATAACTAGAGCTGAAAGCCAGTTGGATATTTACACTTCGTAATATGAAACACTTTGCCTTATTTTAAAGCCTAAAACAGTGCAGTCATGGGTACGCGAGTATAAAATTTCCCAGGTGTGTAAAAATAAATAAATAAAAATAGGACAGATATACAGGGCCCTATGATTTTTGCAATGTGGAAAATGCAGACGGAATCACGGAACTGACACAAAAAAAAACAGTAAAAAATGCAGAATCTCACGGAATTAGCTAATTTAGACGAGTTTCTGACCTATTTTGGACGCTGCTGCTTCCTTCACCTGCCATTACCTGGTTTATTTATTTAATTACTTATTCACTTTCAAGGCAACATATATATCTTTATGTTTAATTTGAGTTTAAAAGAATAAAATGCCTGAGAATTAAACGTTTTAGGGAGTTAAATAATTTTCATTTAATAATCAGTTGTAGTACATTATAGTTGGACATTATAGTTGGAGAATCAACATTACGTTTCACTGATGACAAAATGGCTCAGGGGGTACACAAGTCTATAAAGGTTGGGAACCACTGGTCTAAAATGTAAATCTGCTCACCGTTTCTGATTAAAAAAATAAAAAAACAGCTCATGTTTTGCGTAAAATTTAATATTTATACTCATTCAAGTGATTACCAAATTTTCCTCTGGGATCAATAAAGTATTTTTGAATTTGAAATGAATTGAACAAAGACAGTTAAATAGTTAATTAGGTTTGTGGCATTAAAACATAAAAACACATTCAGGTATCTTCTCATTCCACAGTGTTTGGGTTTATTTATATAGAAACACTAACTGCTGTTACACTGTAACAAAACTCAACCAGCTGAAACCAACTCTGGCGTCAGCTGCTTCATGCTGCATACAAAAGATCCATCATTACAGCTTTTTATGTAAATGTGAATTATTAAACAAAGCTACATTAAACATCAGGATGAAAGCGATATTCACAGAAACGTTGTGTTTAGTTGCATGAGATGTCAGCTGCAGGTTCTGTCAACACTTCTTATCTGTGTCTCGGTGATCGGCTCCGACTGCCTCCGACACGCAGCTGAACCCTTGATCTCTACGTGAACAGACAGAACAGATCTTTAGCACATTTGTGATGGTATGGATTGTAAAGCAAAGGGTTTACAATGACAGAGTCATTCAGAGTTAAGGTACAGGAAGTGATGCAGCAACCACAGAATTCTATATCAGCTAGGGCTGGGCAAAATCGTATTGTGTGTAATTAATGATCAATCACTGGAATTAATGCTATTAACGCTGCCAGGTTATCCTCTTCTCTTTCTTCTTCTAATCCAATTAATAAATCACTTACTTCCTCATCAAAGTCCTCTTTCTGTCTCCGACTGTATGTTCCCTCCTCCATCTCTGCCTTTGAGTTTCCCTCCTCTGTCTTCAAAGGTTCTGACTCCGGCTCGGTCCAACCGTCCGCAGCTCCACCTCAATCAGCTGCAGCTCCATTGTTTTGATTCAAACACACTAAAATTGACTGAACCTAACACTAAACTACGCCACAACTATAAAATCCAAACATTAAATCTCTCAAATCTCTTTGCTCACTTTCGCTCCTGTTTTGTGTCTATTGGTGCCAAACTTCATTCAAATTTTGCGTCATTTTATTTTCTTCTTTCTGTAGATATTTTTTGGCGCTTGTTTAATTTCAGGCGTCAGCCAAAAAGTAGTTTTGGGGTTTTATGTCAGTTTGGGGAGGTGAGAGTGAGACCAGAGGGTGGATTGAGGTGATTTTTTTTCATGAATCTGATCGTCTTTTGCTGCAGCACGCTTCAAATATGACAAACATAAAAAATAACTCTAGTTTTAATTGGCTTATTAATACAATTTAAAAACTAACATATAACTTAAAGTATGTACTTTTGACACAAATTGAAGCAGATTTTTAGAGGGATTGATTCATCATATTAACCCTTATTGGTAAAACACCATAACAAATCATGATTAACTTTTTGCTAATACCGCCCAACCCTAGTAACAGTTAAACGTATGAAGCTAAATTTACAGAAACATAGTGGTGCTAATGATAAACTCCATGTTTGCTCGAACTCACTTTAAGAGTTGCTCCAGTTCTCTTTTGACCTTCGTCACGACAGGTGGGCCCTGATAGGTCAGAGCTGTGTAGAGCTGCACCAACGAAGCGCCGGCACGGATCTTATCCATCGCATCCTGTCCACTCGCCACACCTCCGATCCCAACAATTGGCACTTTACCTGATGAGAAATACAAAAGCGCAAAATGTTTTCTTTCATTTGTGCAGAATTTAACAGGAAAAAAAAGGCAGATTTTTCATTGTTGATGAAAGGAAAAAACCTTTGGTGAGGCTGTACATTTCTCTGACTGTCTTAGTTGAGAGGTCTTTCAGGGGTTGACCACTTAGCCCCCCAGCTTCAGACCTTTGAGGGTCTTGAAGTGTTTCTGGCCTGGACACGGTGGTGTTGGTCACCATTAAACCATCCACCCCTAACTGCAAACAGAAGAGTGAACAGACAGGAAGTCAGAGACGTGTTGACGCGTCTACAGAAGCAACATCCATGTGTGTGACTGAAAATAATCTCCTCTGTCCTTTAATGTGAGGTGGGCCGTGAAAAACTGTTCCTATAACTCTTCTGCTAAGGTGTGCGTCTCCTCCTCGCTCCAATAAACAGAAAACCAGATTTATTTCAACAACAAGCAGATTTTGAAACCACATGGACTGGTGGAAAAAGATAATCTAGACTAAGAAGAGTGTGAAACAAGATGTAAAAACTTTAAATGAGCTGAAAACGTTCCTTCGGCAGTGTTGGAGGCTGCCTCTTTGCACAGGGTGTGTGCAGTTTGCATAAGAATACACAACGTAAAAAGACACAACCAGAGGATATACCCTGTAAAAATTTACATGCTTTTCTTCCTTCTTTGCTTCACCTTTTGGAAGAAACAAAAATAGAACAAAATAAAACTGATTCTTTAAAAGATTTAATGAGAACACTATATATAGTCACATGGGCGTTGACAACTCATTGCCATGGCAAAGCACCATGGGTAAATGACGACGTTTTATTTATATACTGTATACAGTATATGGCATTAGTTCCAGAGTTAACATTATTAAATTGGGCAGCAACGCTATATGGCCATGTATATGAATTAGCTCGGGCGCTAACGCAATCACCAACAGGCTAAGCCAAGGTTCTCCTTCCATGAAGCAGCTCAGTTGTGCAGCATCATTTTCCAGCAGGCTGAGTTATTTCTACTTTCTCCTCTCTTTCAATACGCTCTGGTTTCATTCATCAGACGTTTTCAAAGATTAACCTTCAAGGTAGATAGAGAAAGCAGCCTCYCACCAAAACACCTAGTGAACATCATCATTTACCTGTTGTCCTTTGTGGCGTTAATAAAATGTCACCATCCGTATGACTAATATATATGTTTTTCTTTTTAATTTAGAAAAACTAAACAGCCTACATTAGTTTTACAGTTGAAAGTAAATGTTTATCAAATAATGCCTAATGTTACAACTAGTGTGGGTTCACATTAATAACATGCAGGTAAACTCCAAACCTCAGAGACAACATCTGCAATGTCTCGTTTGTCCTGGTCCGTGAGGTCTGGGGCAATCTTCACCAGAACCGGGGGTCTGTGATTTTCCTGCAGGGCATCYCGTTCCTTCAACACCTGAGCAGAGTGTACAGTATGAGAATTAGCTGAGGAGGCAGAACGAGCTCAACAAATTTTTCAAGACTCGAGATTGTTAACTGATAAAGAAATAAAGAGTAAAACGGGACACATAACCTTTATAATAAAGTTTCAGAAAGTTACTCTAATTAATCTGCTTATCAATATTTGCTTGCTTGATCTATTTTATTTTGATGCTTGAATCAGAATCTATAGTTTGATCATAACTTTTTAAGTTGAGGAAGCCTGAGGGTTTTTATCACTTTTATTATGTCGCTGCACTGTGGCGTTCATTATCCCTGCCCTTGACTTTCCTTTAGCTGCGAGGCAAACGGCTCCTCGCAGGAAGGCCGTGCTGCAGCTGCACAGGCAAAAGTTACAACAAATCAAGAGTGATACAATCAATTTTACTTGGCCACTAAATAAAACAGATGCACGTTATGCTTAACAATATTTAAAGGGTAAATGTGCACCACWGCAACAGCTCACAGAATACCAAGCAGCGCCTGCATCGGCAAATCTGTCCTAACATTATTGAAATTGTCTCAACTTCAACATGATGGAAAGAAAATCAGTATTTAATTTAGGGACAAGTCATTCCTCCTGTTGCAGGACATGTCAGTGACAAAGACACTTGTCTCCAACCTTCACTAACATGAAAACACTGGATTAAAATTACAAGGTTAACAAAGCAAGGTGGTTTTTTTTAAAGTAATGATTTAACCTCCACTGCAAGATTATTTCTAAAAACTAAAAAGAGCTGTCTTAATGAGAACAGTACTTTTTTATATTTATTTTAGAAAGACGGTATGTTCGGCTATCTGGGTGTGTTGTTCTTYAGCGATGGAGCAGGAGATGAACCGACGGATCAGGGCTTCGCATCGGTAATGAGGCTTTGGTTGGTCGTGGTGAAGAAAAACGGTCATGAGGTTTGGATCATGACCAAAAGAAAGAGGATGAGTTAGAAAGACGGCAGATAAACAAATGGAACTTTTATTTAAAAAGTTTTTTTTTTTTTCAGAATATTTTGGAGCACACGATTATGGATTAATGCTACAGTAACTCGTGGCCATGGTTTGCAAAAGACATCAACTCAATACTTTGTAGGAAAATCGTGTTGAATAAATGGGAAGAAAAGCTTCTAGAAAATTTATTAAAAAATCTGACCCCATGCGGTCCACAGTCACACCACAGCAGACCTGAGAGTGAAAAAGGTCTTGGTTCTTATCGGAACCAAAACAATAACAATCCCTTTCAGGAGCCCAGTGTCTGTCCCACGCTGAAGAGAGAGACTGCATAATGATCAACGATTAAAGTAATGTGCACATCTGACTTCCTGGTCACACCCCTGGAGGCGGTACGTTTTACATCAGACKTTAAAACATAACCAACTTTGTTTATATTACAGAGAGGCCTCATATTGATAAGACACACTGACTATCTTCCTCTGTTTACATTATATGACTGCAAAGATCACAAAGTTTAAAATACAAGACTGGACCTTAAATTCAGCTAATCAGTCAGATAATTTCCTTCAACTTTTATAACTATTTATCTCCTCTTTTTTAGTAATAGTTGGAGATGTGATGGTCAATATAATGTACTTTTTTATACCTTGARTGATAGTCGGAGATACATTTCCAATGCAGGCTAGCATTTTACAGTAAAAATATAAATAAAAAATCAATCATGTATTTACAATACATTAAATATGGAAAATAATTACAGGTTTTATGGATGTGTCTAGTGATTAAAGATTTAAAATTCTTAAGTGATGCCAGCGAGCCATGCTGGCATCACTTAATGAGCGTTATATCTAAAAACAGATTTTCCTGATTCACAAAAAGCTCTCGGTACCTGACAGGTAATCCAGTTACAGGAGTGAGTTTGATAGGTACTTTTATTTATTAAGAGCAAGTGAGAAATATAAACTGTGATTTTTTTTTTTTTTGTCTTTCAAAAAAACCTGTGATGTGCGATAACAGTGCTTAATATTGAGATGATGATACGACTTAGAACAAATACATTAGCATGCAGTGTTGATGTCTTTCTGCTCTGGGTTTAGAGCAAAGAAAAAAAATTCATTCCAGCATGATTTTTTTTAATATGAAGAGATTTATCAAATTGGCCAAATACATGAAAAGCTCCATTTGYTTGGTGAAATACTTCAAGCTTCCGTCTGAGTGACAAAACTCATAAATGCAGACTTTTGAGCCAACCATTTATCTCAGTTTTTTTGCAATATGCATATTGCACAGGCTGTTACTGCGATGACGATAAATTTTTGATATATTGTGCAGCCCTAGCCTTATCATTCTGGGATGTGATTTTTAAAGGCTGCAATATTAACTGAGCCTTATAAAAACAATTCATCCATTTCTGTCACCTAACAAGGTAAAACTACATCAAAGTAAATTTTTAAAAAAGTCTTAACCACAAACTTTATGTGAGGTGAAAATGGTAGACGTAAGAATAATTAACACTTTTTCTTGTTTAAGATATTAGTGTGYGGATATGACAGAGAAGCAAGAGACAACTGTTAAAGTTATAAAAATTGATTTGTTTTGCTTTCAAACCAAAACTTCCAGAGTTTTCATTGTGTTCATACGTTCAACGATTCAATGAACCAGAGGGTCCTACCGTGCGTAAGAGCTGGCGAAGCTCGGCCTTCCCCTGCAGATTTCGGAGACCTGGCGTATTGGGACTGCTGACGTTGACCACCAGGTAGTCAGCCAGCTGGCCCAGAGCCCTCACCCCCTCTAAATAATCTGATGCTGCATCCTGGGAAAGCTTGTTCTTACCCAGGTTGATGCCCAGGGGAAGGCCAGCTATAAACAAACATAAAAGCACGCACACACATAGAGGATCAGGTAAACACAAACACAATCTGCATCCTTCGACTCATGACTCAACCAGGACRGACACTGATGTGCAAAATGAGCTGTGAGCAAACAAATATTTAAAAAGAACGAGCCAAGGACACATTAGGATTATTTCAACAAAACTAAAAATGATATTTTGTATTAGATCTGACTCAATTCTTTGTTTTACTTTCATCACCTCAAACCAACAACTAAATAACAGATTTACAAAGTAACTAAGCACAAATACTTCTTTACTTAAGTAGAATTTTTTGTATCTGTACTTTACTTGAGTAAAGTAAAATAATTCAGCCCACTTTTTACTTCTACTCCTTACATTTTTTTAAAAAGGCAAGAAGTAGAAAGTTGTTACTTTTTTCATTTTTGCTTGTGCTTATAAAAAATAAATACTATCCATATAAATTGTGTCCCTTAGATAGAGTGAATTTAATTGTGGTTGAATAAGAAATATAAATATATAAAATTCTGATACCGTATTGAACAGCAGAGGAGGTATTTGTATTTCATGAATTATATTATTGCATTTGGCCGCAGCCCTCAGACAGATTTTCATTTTGGAGAAAAGCTTTGTGCAGCCTTGATATATGTATATAAACTGAAACAGCTGGACTAGTGCATCTTAAATGTAACATAAATTAATTATTTTAATACAATATAGTCATTTCTGCATTTCATGTGGAGGTCACCTCCTAATACGTCCTTACAGAAAATCTAACTGCTTATTTTAAATCAATACTTTTACTTTTAATACTTAAGTACAAAAAATATCAGATACTTTAATAATTTTACTCGAGTAATATTCCTAATGGAGACTTTAGCTTTTACCAAAGTAATTTTTTGGTAAGATACTTGTACTTTTACTCAAGTATCACGTTGTGGTACTTTATACAACACTGCAAATTTACATCAGACATCTTGGTAATAATAAGCTTAAAACAGCGCTGTATGAATTTTTCCACTCGTTTAGTTGGCATTTTGTGGAAAATAAAGAGAAGATAAAAAGGTTTACTGACTTTTACTGTGTTCTTGTTGTGTTTCTTTCCTGGCCTTTAGCCTCGTTTGTACTTCTGCCAAACCACAGCTGTTGAATCCATATCTGAACAAACCAAACAAACAAGTACACTCAAATAAAATATTTATATTCTTACCAATAACATCTTAATGTATATCATTAGAATCTCTTAAAATATAACCAATAACTCCACAATATTCCCATAAAACTGAAACTATTATTGCATTAGATTTTATTAGTTTTAGCACCAAATGTACCCAGTGTGTGTGTGTGTGTGTGTGTGTGTGTGTGTGTGTGTGTGTGTGTGTGTGTGT